ACAGTTTTCTTTGGCAGTGTATCAGCAGCAAGCAGATGCATAGGAATAGCACTGAGGACATGCTTGATCAGAATAAGTCGACCCCCCTGAGATAAGTTCTTCTGCTTCCATGGGGTTAGCTTTGCCTCAAATTTATGAATGATGTCCAGGCAGTAGTCATGCCTGTTGATACCTTTGTGAAGGTTAACTCCCAAATATTTAATAGGCAACTCAACTTTTTGCATACCCAGTATATCTTTAATAATATTGCCTCTTGCCCCCACATGTTTACCATAGATGAAAGAGCTTTTAGCAAAGTTCACAGACTGCCCAGATGCTCTTTGATATTTTCAAGAAAAATCTTGAAACTCCTTAATGATCTAGAGCCACCATTGAGAAAAATTAAGAAATCATCAGCGTAAGCTAGGTGTGAAATTGGATAGCCAATATTTCCCATCCAATAAGGCAGTATTTGTCCATTCAACATCAAGGATTTTATCCCTCTTGAGAAAGCTTCAGAGGATAGGATAAAAAGGAAAGGGGATAAGGGATCACCTTGCCTAACACCACGTTTAGGTTTAAAGAAACCTTGAGGGACACCATTAATAAGGATAGATAAAAAAGTAGAGTGTAGGTTATTCAGGATAATCTGTATAAAATTTGGAGAGAAACCAAAATGATACAAAACATCACCAATAAATTTCCAAGAGAGCTTATCAAAAGCTTTAGCCATATCAAGCTTGACAATGACATTAGATCCTCTAACTTTTTTATCAATGGCATAGACCATTTCCTGACCAATGAGAATCTGCTCAGAGATATCTCTACCTGCCATGAATCCTGCTTGTTCTGGTGAAATAAGTTTAGGAATGAGGGTAGAGAGTCTGTTTGTTACCACTTTGGTGCAGATCTTGCTAATGAAGTTAGACAGACAGATTGGTCTGAAGTCTGCAAAAGTCATAGGGTTGTCTGACTTGGGAATTAGGACAATTAGGCAGCTAGACATGCCTCTAGGAATGGGGAGGCCCATAAAAAACTCCTGCACTGCTTTAACAACATCTTGTCCAACAATTTCCCAGCACTTCTTAAAAAAATTGCCATTAAACCCATCAGGGCCTGGGGCACCATTCTTATTTAGACCCCATACTGCTTCTTTAACTTCATTCATCTCTGGTAACTTCATTAACATCTGGTTATCCTCATCCTGGACAAGGGGGGGAATGTGCTGCAGAATAGAGTCAGTCTCCACTAAAGAATCAACTGAGTACAGCTCAGAGAAGTAATCAACTGCAGCTTCCCCAATCTCAGGTAAAGAAGTAATCTGATTCCCATCTGAGCTAGTAATTGAAGAAATAGCCTGCTTTTTATTCTTAATCTTAACATAAGAGTGGAAAAAATGAGAATTAGAGTCTCCATCCTTTAACCACTTGATATGTGCTTTTTGTTTCCAGAATTTCCTTTCAAGTTTGTATTTAGAGAGCAAAGTAGCTTTCAAAAATGACCAGTGTTGTCTATTTTCATCACTAGGATGCTCAATAAACTTGTTTTCTGCCTCAAGGACCTCCTTTTCACACTGCTTTACAGCTTCAAAAATGTTTCCAAAAGTGTCTTTATTCCAGACTTTTAGATCCCTTTTAAGAGACTGCAGCTTAAATACCAGACATCTCATACCACCACCTGTTCTACTTGAGGCCCAACTTCTTTTAACAGTATCAAGGAAGGTAGGGTGACTCAGCCACATGTTCTGGAATTTAAAAGCTTTAGGCCCATAGGAGTTAGATTTATGGCATTGAACTAAAATTGGATTATGGTCAGAGGGAGATTTGTCCAAATAGGAGATCTGTATAGAGCTGAAATGGCTGTTGAAGTTGTGGTTAAGTAAGGCTCTATCCAGTTTCCTCCAAACCCAACCATTAGATCTGAACCCAGCCCAGGAGAATTGAGAACCAATATGAGGAAGCTCAATCAGGTCACTAGAAGCAATAAAATCAGAAAAGTCAGTAATACTTCCCAAAATAGGAGAAGACCTGCCTTTGTGCTCACTATGTTTGGCTATGGCATTGAAATCACCCCCCACAATCCAAGGTTCCATGATAGAGGTAGAGAGTGTCAGTAAAGAAGTCCAAAGGTCCCTTCTAGTTATGTGATTGTGTTTTCCATACACAGCAGTCAACCACCCTTTGTAGTCCTCCTTGGTGACTCTGAAACGGACAAACTGAGAATGCCAAGAGATTTGAGAAATTGTAACAACACTTGGGTTCCAGAAAACCCAAATTTTATTGGTAGGAGATAAAATAACATCTAAACCAAAACGAGCTTTAAATTTCTGAGCTCTAGAAATGTCAATAATAGGCTCAATAATAACTAAAATAGAAACCTTCCATTGTTGAATAAGAGAAATAAGTCTGGAAGAAGAGGCTTCCAGCCCTCTAACATTCCAAAATATCAAATTCATTGAGAATTGTGGGTGGGAAGTGTGGGAAGTCTACTGACTGAAGTTTTAGAGCTTGATGCCTCAACAATGTTTTTCTTTTTTGCAGCATTTCTGGTGACTCTTGGTGGTTCTTCTGGGATGTCCTTCTTCTTTGATTTCCTGTTTGTGACCAAGGTAAAACCTTCAGTGTTGTCATGATTTGTATCTGCCTCCCCTGACTGATCTGAGCTTCCTATGCCTGGATTATCATTGATTGGTATGACTGTAATACCTGTGGCCTGATTTGAGGGAGAGGGTTCCTTAGGGACCTCAATTTGTTGTCTGAGAGTATCAATTTTGCAGATAACTCAGGCCAAGAATCTTTCCATTTCTGTAGTTCAACCTGGAGCTTTGGCCTGGGCAACTTCCCATCCGAGGCATATACCTTACCACTCAATTCTTCATCATAAAGTAAGTCCTTTTGCAATTCATGAACATGTATATCATCCTTGAATTCAGTATAACCTGTATTCTTCTTTCCAGGAATATCAAGTTGATGTAGAAGATCCAACTCCTGTTGAGTAAATGTCTGGCCTGGTTCAATGTGGACAGGGGGTTCCTCAGTATCAAGAAAAATTTCCTCCCCCTCAGATTCCTCTTGATGAGTTGTAATGATTTGTGTAGAAGTTAAAGTCTTGTCTGCTTTCAAATTGGTTGATTTATCAGGCTTTTGCTTCTCAACCCAAGTCTGTTTGGGTGCTTCCTCTTGTAGTATAACCGTATGAAGTTTAGGGCACTTATCAGCAAAGTGACCTAAATGTAAGCACAAGGAACAGTAGGCAGGTCTGTTTTCATAGAAAACAGGCTGAGAAAAACCAGTAGACCCACAATTTACCCATACTTTAGTAGGCATCTCTTTAGTTAAATCAAGTTCCACACATATCCTTGCAACCTAGGGCCTAGCCAAAGTGGTTGTGGCCGAGTCAATGTGTAAAGGAGTACCAATTAAGCTAGCGATCCCAAATAACGCCCTTTTGTCATGAAGATGAATTGGTAACCCCTCAAAGGCAATCCAAATCGGAACCACAGGGGATTCCACGTTAGGTTTAAAGTCCGGAGACCACTTTGTCACCCTCATAATATTGCCTTGGATAGACCAAGTTTGTCGATTCCAGCATCGCAAGTAATCTTCTTCCAAATCGAAACGGATAAGAACATGTATCTTCTCTAGATAACCCAAATGAAAAGATCCTTTGAAGCCGATGACCTCAAAGGATTTCCTGATTAGCGTTAGGCTAGGGCGACCACGGAAAAAATAACCAACCAAGGATCTTTTATGGACTGCTGCCAATTGTTGAACTTCCGCATCTGAAAAAGATATGGCAGGCAGGCCCTTGAAACGCGATCGAATAGGAGAAATTGCATCCTCCTTGTTAGAGACGACCTCAGCAAAAGATTTTTTGGCCCAAACCTTCCCATCAGGCAATGACGGCGGTGGAGCCGCCGCTGCGGTGCCGGCGGACATTCGAATTAGAAATTCGCCAGAGCTCAAACCCTCACCCCTCCGACCTCTTCTTTTATCGCCTATCCGTGCCCCTCCTAGTTGGGTAGAAGTCTTCAATTCTTCTCTTATTCTATCTCTATATTAATGTTGGGGAGTGTTGCTAAGATGACAATTAGTTAACATCTTGACATTAATTACTATTGAAAACGATTAATGAACCGATGATTAATCATTGATGGTTTCACAAGTAACTTCGAGTTATTAATGCACGGTCGTGGTTAATAAATAATCTTAAGAGTGATTAATTATGTTGGTTAAACTGAAAGTGTTGTGTTGAGGTTATCAATCTCAATTGATTCATCAAGGAGTTAAGAGATTAAAGCTGCTATATATCAAGTACGTATATGGCGGTGTTCTATACTTGGCTAATAGTAAGGGTTATTAATGAACGGACATTGTTAATAACTACCTTCGATGAATTGGAGATATTCTTCGATTGAGTATTCGAGAGGGGATAAGTTATAGATATAATCGGGATCAACAAACATATCAACAAGTGGAAAGTAGCAAAGTCAAGTCTTTTATCTCATTAATTAATTAAATTTATATAAGTAGTTCATCTTAGTATTTAATTAATTAAAATCATACAATCCCAAAAAAAACCCTTTTAATTACTAGTTTCATAAAAAGAGAATTATTCATTTCCCCGTGAATACGAACTCTACTTCACTATAATACATATAAGTGTTAGTATCGAATTTATTTTGAAGCGCATACGACTTTAGTGTCGTCAAGATCCTATGAAAATTATAAAGTGAGCACTCGTCACCTATTTCTAATGCAATCCAAATACTCCAAATCAATAATAGTTCCAAATTTTCTAAAAATGGTCTCTCAAATTCTCTTTCCACCCGCAATCACCCAATTATAATACTAGTCATCAACTCATTTCTACCAACAAAAAGTTACTGTACTATATCTTTATTATCTTCTTCTCTAGCAGGATTATAAGGAAGTTGCTATGAGGGGCCTAGATAATTATTTTCTTGTAACACTTCAGTTATTGAAAAACGATTGAATACGGATGGGTCAAGCATACACTGATTTACAAAGCATAAAACACCATCAACTCTTTTATTGTCTGCCTTATTATTTATTTTATTATACACGGTTATATATTACACATACATGCATGTATGTAGTGGCTTTCAAGCTTGCCTAGCCTAGATATATGGAGTTTATTACAAGAGAAAATGTAGAGGCTAGGGAACTAATTAAGGACATCAGCATTGATAGAAAAGGGAAGTAACAGAGGCCGGCGAAGAGCTGAAACAGAGTTCAGTATATGTATATACTATACGTTGCACATAATTAGTTCTTGGCAAACCAGACAACGTGATCCTCTGGCAGGAAATGGCAAACGGGAACAGTCCCTGGCTTGACCTTAAGCACCTGGAAAGCCAAATGCTTTGGGTTCCAACCGGAGGTATCTTTGTGGCAAACCGCCGCCGCCTTTACCTGACCTCCATTAGCTCCGACCAGGAAAACCTTATAAGCATCTGTCGTCACTGTTTTGTGGCAATAGAAGACAGAGTATCCGTAGCTCTGCTTGTGGCAGGCCACAATCCCGTCGCCACCTTTGTTCATTTCCTCAACGCCTGAAATGGTGTACTTCTGAAAGAATGACGTATTTCCGGCTATGGTTTCCGTCGATACCGCCCCGATTTTCTTCCCCCGCAGCTTGGATTTGGCGAAGTCGATCATGGATTCTAGTGACGTGGCGCACTGCTTCTCCTCTCCTTTGACGGCTGGTTCTTCGCATTCTTTGATGGTTTTCTTCATCTCCCGAGCCTCATCAGAATCGGGTTTTACGGAGAAACGGTCGAGGATTTGGGGCATCTCCCGGGAGGAAAACGGGATCTTTTTCGATTCCATCCGGGGCAAGAAAACGGCGCCTTTCCCGAGCGTCGAGAATTGTAAGGTCATGCCGTCGGCGTTGCCTTTGTGTAAGGCGGCGGGCTTGAAGAAGAGGGTGCCGCTGGAGCTGTCGTGGAGTTGGTCTTCCGTGGCGGCGTAGCGGTAGAAGAAGACGTGGTGTAAGCTCTGAAATTCCCCTTTTGCGAAGGAGGAGGACCAAACACTTTCAGCCGCAGGTGGGAGGGAATTCTTGACTGCTAGGGGCATCGCAGTGTTGGGCAGCTTCGTATTCCAATACATGTTCAGCGCAGTTGATGATGGAGCTCCTGCATCGCTTCCAACCATACATATCTGATGAAAAAATTACCAACAAAGTAAATGATTATAAATTCTTGAATTAATTTTTTTTTTAAATTCTTGAGTTAATTATGTACGGCACAAATAAGACCAAAAAATAAAGGGCTTTTTCCATGAATATTACTAAGTAGAAGTTAATTTCCAAAAAACTCACCATTTTTACAAAAAGACGAAAATGTGACTAAGAAGGTCACATATTTGGAAAAATGTCACTCTCAGATTTTTATGTCACTCTTATATGTCACTATCATATTTTTATGTCACTTTAGGAATGTCACTATTGATTTTCATGTCACTTTCAAATGTCACTATCACCGAAAAACGCGTCACTGCGTCGTCGAACAATTTTCCGGCTACTTTTACCTGTCAAAATTTTCGCCGGAAACCGCCACCATGCTGCCTCGACACCGCCTCCATCGCATAAGACCGCCTATGGCCCCTTACCCCAGCTCCAGCCCCTCCCCTGCTCCCTTAGCCCCCTGCTCCCCAGCCCCCTCCTCTACTCCCCAGCCCCCTCCCCAGCTCCCCATTACGTGAAATCGCCGAAAAGGTGACCAATTGCATCCGTAGCCCCCTCCAACCCCTGCAACCACCAAGCGCCGCCCCGCCTATTGCCTCTGTCTTCAATTGCATCTCTGTCCAGCCCTAGCCCCATCCCAACTAGGGATGGCAACAGAGCGGTTCGGGGTCGGGTATACCATTATCCGTACCCGCCCCGTTTCATAATATTTTTCCCTGAAACCGCCCCGTTATCCGTCGGGTATTTTTTATCCGCGGGTAATGGTTTTCCCCGCGGGTAACGATTTCCCCGCGGGTAATCGTTTTATTAAAAGATAAATTTTTTTCTTCAAAATTAGTATAAATTCTAAAATGATGATTAACTACTTATAATTGACCACCTAAATTAAAAAAAATCAAAATTAAATAGCACCACATATAAAGTTTTTTAAAACATTACAAAAAAATACTATCATTTGAACCTAATATTCACAAATTATATATGTCTAGATTCAAAATTATGAATCTCTTACCACATCAACATCAAAAGATTAAGTCTTGTCTCGATAGTAAATTCTAAATATGAATCACAAAAACATTTAACTTCCAAAAATTCAATAATCATACCCCACCAGCATTCAACATCTAAATTTAAGAACAGTGATGTATACAAGTAACATAATGAAAATAGGAAGTTTTTTTCGTAAAATATTACTAATAAAAAATATATGGACATAGAAGTGACTATAAGTTATCATGAGTAAGTTTTATAGTCACTACGATATAACATTTGAATAAAATTATAAACAGGTACTAAAGTTACTAGAGTCGCATTTTTGTCCACAACTTTTATTTTGATTATAGATTTGGAATTATTTCTAAAAAAATGTACTTCTTGTAGTTACTGTTTTAGAAACCTCATGATTTAAATTTAAATCTTGATATAAATTAGAGCAACCAATCAAAATTAATCTAATCATCCAATACACCTCTATAAAATTATTAGCAATTACATAAAGGAATTTTATCAATTAAGGACCCGAAAGGTAGACGAATTATCAATCCGAGACCTGAAAGATGAAATGCATCAATATAGGACCCGAATGATTGAAAACTATTACTTTAGGACCTAAGTTGTCATAAATTTTATTTTATTTTTTATTTTAAAATTTTTAAATACTACTACCTCCGTTCCAATTAAAACTTCCAAATAGATTTGGCACACAGTTTAAGATAGTGAGTATTGTATGGTGGAGAGTTGTGCAGAGGAGAGAGAAATGTGTAAGAAATGTTGTGAATCACAAATTCTTTATTAAAAAGGAAAAATGGAAGTTTTAATTGGAACGGACAAAAAAAGAAAGTTGGAAGTTTATTTAGGAACGGAGGGAGTATTTAGTTTTATTTAACTAATAAACTTTTGTGAAGAAAAGTTTATCAAAAATTAGTAATGGAATTAATAAAAAACTAAATAAATCAAAACCTATGGAACATTAGGTCCTAAATTGATAGTTTTCCATCATTCGGATCATATACCGATATGTTTCATCTTTTGGGTCCTGAATTGATAATTAGTCTATCTTTCGGGTCCTAAATTGATAAAATTCCTTACATAAATTAAAGCAATCTAGAGTAATGTTTCACAATATTTGGACTTTAAACTCATATGTGAGCTTTGTGAAAGTTATTGGATGAAAAATTAAGAGAGTCACAATGTGAAAATTGTGTACAAAAAATCACGAAAATCAAATAATCAATATGTGAATAAAATAAATCTTGTAGAAGTTAACAAAGGAAGGATGATGAATGATATTGAAAATTAAAAATCTAAAATAGTGAACTTTGAGCACCAACTCCTCATAATTGCAAAGAATAGCCAATTAGTTGAATATTTTTCAAAAAATTATAGGGAATAAGTGTCATATACTAATGTATTACTATTCATATATACTTAATATATTAAATAATAAATACATAAACTATTAAAATATGTAAGTTAATTGTGCGGGTCGGGTAATGGTGTGGGTAACCGTATCCAAATTAAACGGGGCGGGTAACGGGGCGGGTAACGGGGCGGGTAGGTATAAACCTATAACCGCCCCATTACCCGTTTACATAAATCGGGTATTCCCCGCCCCGTACCCGTTATCCAGTCAAAGCGTTTTTCCCCAGTTTGACCGGTTCGGTTCAGTGCGGGTATCCATCGGGTCGGGTTAAATTACCATCCCTAATCCCAACCCCGTAACTCTAGCCCCACCCCAACCCCCATAACTCTAGCCCCATCCAAACCCGTAACCCTAGCTCAAATGAACCCTAACCCGCAATCCCAATTCGCTGGTGAGCGAGCCCACTAGAATTGTCATCTTCATCGACAAAATCGGACAAGGATGTCCGCAGTCAGGCGTAGAAGAAGAGGTGAAGAAGAAGGGAGATGTAGAAGACGGCGAAGAAGATGAAGCGTCGCGCTGGGAGAAGTCGCAGATGGAGACGTCGTAGATGAGGCGTCGCACTGGGAGAAGTTGCAGGTGGAGAGTCGGAGAAGAAGAAGAGTCGCAGGTGCAGAGTGGCATACAACGTAAGGAACAATTGGGATTGGAGGAAACAGATGGATTTTTTAGTTTTAAGGTCAGTTTTTTGTCTAATTGAAATCTAGTCATATTTGTGTCCATCTAAAGTCCATAAGTAATAATGGTGCCATTGTTTCTTGAGTTAATTATGTACTATCCGTTTGCACAAATAAGACCAAAAAATAAAGTATGTTTCATACTACCTTGTAGCTATTGAAATGTTTTAATTCATAATAAAATAAAATAAAAAATTCGTAAAAAATACTAAAAAATTAATAAGGCTGTTTTAAAAAAATAATGGATCAAAAAAATGAAAAAGGGAGAACTATCAAACAAGCTCTCGAACTTTCATAAAAAGTGCAAATAAGCCCTTTTATATATAGGAGCCTTTGTCCGGCCGTCGGCATTTGGAGCGGTTTCCGGTGGAATTTTTTGAGCATCTTCTTCATTAAGTCTAGTTTACCCATACCAAATTTCAGATAAAAATTCAATTGGGAAGGTAGTCAAATGAATTTTTGAAGATAACTGCGTAGTTAGGCAGTGCAGTATATTTCAGAGAATCATTTGACTGTCTTCTCAATTGAATTTTAGCTGAAATTTGGTATGGGTAAATTAGACTTAATGAAGAAGATGCTCAAAAAATTTCATCAAAATATTCCATCGGAAACTGCCACAAATGGCGACAGCCGGACAAAGCCTCCTGTAAAAGGGCTTATTTGCGCTTTTTATGAAAGTTCGAGGGCTTATTCAGTGGCGGACCCAGAAAATCGGAGTCACGGGGTCCCTAACTTAATGTAAGTCTAACCAATAAAAAATTAAAAAAATGTAAGTATATAATATTAAAGTAGCATAACATTTCATAGTTAATGTACATCATCAAAATATTAAGAACTTTTATCAATTCAGAACCTTATAGATAGATAAATTATAAATTCGGTACCCGAAAGATGAAATGTATTGATATAGGACCCGAAAGATGAAAATTATCAATCTAGGATCTAAGATTTCATAGATTTTGATTTATTTATTTTTTTATTAATTCCTTTGCTTATTCTTGATAAACTTTTTTCCACAAAAGTTTATTAGTTTAACATAAAATAATAAAAATTCATGACAATATAGGTCCGAGATTGATACTCTTCAATCATTCAAATCCTAAATTGACAATTTTCATCATTTGAGTCTTATATCTATAAATTTCTTCTTTCAGGTCTCGGATTGATAATTCATTTACCTTTCAAGTTTTGAATTGATAAAATTCCAAATATTAAAGTAGTACAACGTTTCATAGTCCCTACTATGACGCAACTCGTCTTGAACATTAGGATGCAAATCAACAATTTTTTTCTCAAACCAGGATAAGCTTCTAAAGATTCAAAATAAACATGTTGATCATGTGTATTGTAAAAGTCAAATTAATTTCATATTCACCAATTATTTTATTCAATTCTTCACTTAATAATGGAAAATCATAATATAAATTTTAATAATTAATTGAATTATGTAAAGTGTAAAGTTGGGGATTTTTAAAAAAGGCAAAAGGATGTAGTTCTGATCTTTTACAATAATAAATAAAAAAAAAGAGGAATAGGAGTGAGAGGGAATCGATCCTTGCACCTCCACGAAAAATAAAGGTTTTTAAAGCCTTTCCTCCGTTTCTCTACTCCATTCTTTGGGATTTATATTTGTTTTTGTGTTATATATACATTTATAAGTAAATTTTAAATAAAATATATAAAATATATAGGTATTTTTTTGGAAGTACGCGGGGTCCCGGGACCCCGTGGGACCCTTAGTGGGTCCGCCCCTGGGCTTATTCGATAGTTCTCCCTTAATAAAAATATAAAAACACAAAAAAAAAATCACGGCCACCTCTGCCGCCCTAGCATCACCACATGCGG